AGCCTGTGCCCTCCCTCGCTCCTCCGGCCGCTTTTGGAAAGGCGGGGGAAGCGGCTGCTTCCCCTGCACCCCACTAGCTACGCTACTGAGTCCTGAACCTCGTTTGTATCCCAATTTTATAACCATGTATTTTCCTTTTGATTCCAGGGAGCTGTGACCATGGTGGGCTTATGGGCATCAGCAAACCCGTCTTGACACAGCTGAACTGGAGGGGCCTTGCCTATTCCTATCCCACTCTCCTGCTAACCCAGAGAAGGAACTTTACTGGGTGACACCTTTGAACACAGATGGGAGATCACTGACATATTACCGTTTTTACCAGTCATATGATGATTTGCTGGTGTAGAGAAATGATCAAGAGAACAGAATTCAGTGTGGACAAGGTGGGGATATTACCATGGATAGCAATTTCATGTACTGTAACTCTACAACACTGCCAATATGTATAAGCTCAACTTAAATACAAACCAACTAGTTCAGTCTAAAATACATCCCAGATTCCATGTACAACAACCGCGTCTCCTACACTGGTGCATCATGGCAGGACATTGACTTTGCTGTGTGTGAAAGTGGGTTGTGGGTAATTAATTCAAGAGACGCAAATACAGGTTACACTGTGATTAGCAAACTCAGCGAAGGCTCCCTGCAAGTGCAAAATATCTGGTATAGCAGGTCATACAAGTCTTCTATTTCCAATGCTTTCTTTATATGTGGGGTTCTTTATGCCACTAGATCTGTCCACACTAAGCAGGAGGAGATATTTTATATGTACAATATCAACACTGGGAAAGAGGGCAAAATTAGCATCAGGCTGGATAAAATGTTAAACATAGTGCAAAGAATCAACTACCAGTCCTTGGACCATAAACTGTAGGTGGACAATGATGGCAACTTACAACCTGAGCTTCCAGCCCACCTCCCAGTGAGAGCTTTCTTTGGTTTCTGTGCAAATCAGTCATGCAGAGTGATTCAGAGTGAATCCCGCAGTGGCAGAAATAGCTGCATTTGAATGCCAAAGCAAAAATAAAAAATGGATCATCATCGCATGGAAAAATGCAGTTATGTTTTGACAGAACAAGAAGCAATGGTCTCAAGTTGCAGTGGGGGAGGTCTAGGTTGGATATTAGGAAACACTATTTCACTAGGAGGGTGGTGAAGGATTGGAATGTGTTACCCAGGGAGGTGGTGGAATCTCCTTCCTTAGATGTTTTTAAGGCCCGGCTTGACAAAGCCCTGGCTGGGATCATTTATTGGAGTTAGTCCTGCTTTGAGCAGGGGGTCAGGCTAGATGACCTCCTGAGGTCTCTTCCAACCCTAATCTTCTATGATTCTATGTTTTTTTACTGACACTTTCACAGGACATCAAAATAATCACAGCACTAATCATTAAAATTAATCATTTAGAACAATTAGAAAACTAATAGAGGCAGAGATTTACATGGGGGAAAATTAGGGCCGAATCTTGAGAGAAAAACCACATTGTTGGGTCATGGTTGTGGAAGGAAATTCAATGAAACCCAATAGTCAGCAAATTCAAAATGGTGGAGGGAGGGTTTGTTGTTTGTACAAAACACAATTAGCCTTTGGAACTCACTGCCACAAGATACCATTAAGGCCAAGAACTGAGCAGGGTTCAAAAGAGACTTGGACATTAATATAGATGAGACTAGCAAATTTACAGTAATGAGGGTTAAATGTATATTTAGCATGGACTAAATCCTTCCAGTTTCAAGGCATAAGTCAACCACTAAGTGATGGGGTTTAGGAAGAAACTTTCCCATGCAGAGGATAACTGTGCATAGCCCTGCGGGGTTTCCTCTGAAGCAGCCAGGACCAGCTACTAGAGACAGGATACTGACGAGATGGACCTCGGCTCTGGTCCAGCCCGGCAGTCCCCATGTCCATAGATATCTACTGTACTGACGGCAAAAGTGGTTCTTTGTCTAACTGGCCAAAATCATCCCTTAACTGGAGGGTTTTTCACCTCCATCATATGTGAAGTGGCAGCAGCACTCCATGGAGCTGCAGACATTTTCGGTGCCCGTCAAGGTGAGCGTAACACACTTGTCAGCTTCCTTGTGCCTCTCCGTCTGGCATAGAGTGGGCAGCACAAGAACTAACCTCCCATTTGGCTTCCCCTCAGACTAGTGAAACCCTCCCTGTTCCGGGGGTGTCATT